TGTTAGCAATATTACATATACACATCATGTAGGAGCAAACCTTTATGAAATGCGCTCTGAGATTATTATAGGTAGGTATATAAAAAAACCTATACATAAAAATGTCGGTGCACGCTGAGGCACATACCTGCTGTGTGCATATACTGTATGTATTAATTCGCCACTGCTTGGACTGGAGGTTCCAATGATAAAATGTAACTTTTTTTGTACATTTTTCTTATTTTCAGATAATATGTTACTACTAAGACCGCACCATATGCAATCAGTGTGCAATTTGCCAGAAAGATTTAGGGATAATGTTTGCTATGCATAATGAAACATGTACTCTCTTCTTTATTTCTTCATTTCCCATATTATTAAAAAAAAAAGGAAATGTTGGTGTTAGCAGTGTGCCAGTAGTGGATGCTTGAAAGGTTACAGCTATAGAACTAAAAATCGCAGCCTGCAGGACAGCATGGAGCTCCACAATAGCTGCAGATTAATAGAGTGCCACACATTCCATGGAAGTTTCACCCTGGAGTAGGGCAATGTGAATGTGATCTTTGCTTTTTGTGTATAAAATAAAGTCAATAATTAATAGCTAGAAGTAAACTGAATGTCTAAGTAAGAAACCAGCAGTCTCTGTTTTCTTGCATCAGAGAAATACATGCTGTAACTTCTCTTTTTTCCTCTAAATGCAAATGATTGCAGATAAAATCAGAATGTCACAAGTCCCCACAACAGATGTATGCTTGTGACAAGATGAGCCCAGCAGCCAGGTACTGTATAGTAGGCGTTGTCTTTACAAGTCACCTGATCTCCTCTTCTCCCTGTCGTAGAGAGGCGAGATAAAGAGGAAGGAGAGGTGTGGTCCCTGACAGGTGGGTTTACCCTGAAGTCCAGCCAAGGTGGTGTTCCCACCTTCTTATGACTCAACACATGGCTGACATTAATGATAGAGATCATCTGATTTTGCTTCACTTGCCAAGCATTAGGACATCTGAAACATGCACAGATAATCTGTCTGAAGGATTGCTACCTCTCCAGGGTTCCGTAAAGGGACTGTTCAGACCTCATAACAGGCTGAAATCTCATGTTTACACTATGGAAGAAGGAATAGATAACCCGGCATTCACCACTCTAGGTGAAGTGGAATTGCAAACTATTGATAATGACATTAAAACAGCGATCCCAGGTTCTGGAGTGACAGAAAAAGAAAACCAGGATCCCATTAGCAGCGCAGACTATGAAGAGGGACCATGTGGCTGGGGAAGATTCACTCCGAGCTTTCTGCAGTGCTGTAACAATCCCAAGGGTTACTTAGTGATGTACAGCCTTCTGGCTGTCCTGCAAGGTGAGCAGCATTCCTTTCTGGAACTCTTTCTGACACAATAACTGCACTGAAATCTTACCTGTACTATCTGAATTCCTCGCTGTTATATTGAAAGTGCTTTTCTTTGCATACATTTGAAAAACACGTTAGAAATGGGATAAAGCAGGCTATTTCATGTGTATGATCATGTGCAGCTGTACATACATAAACTATAATATTTAAATAGCAGTTCAGAAGCAGTGCCAGGAATTATTTGTAAAAATAAAACTTATACCCATTTACAAAACAGAAAATGATTGGCTTTTTTTTTTTAGCATGTGATCTTTTGTTAGACATACAGATCAATTCACAATAGGACAAATGTAATCATAAATACAGAAGTAACAGCAGTAAAAGAAAACATTTGAATAACTGCAGGATCAAGAACAATATCAGACAACTTCACAATCGATTCAAGGGACTTGTTGTGGAGGGGTTAGGCGGGGAGAGGATCAAAATAAATTGACTAGGAGGTTGCAAATGATTATGTAGCAGTATTAGTTTGTGAGCCATAGGTTGGAACATTAAAGGACATCTAACGCCCCAAGAGAGCCGGCAGCCATAGAGGTGAGGTACCATATCGTGTCTTGGAATAAGGACATCACCTCCTTAAGCCGTCCTGTATCTAGTTCGGTCAGTAGAAATGGGGTCCAGGTGAGGAAGAATTTACCCGTCTGAGATTGGTTGAGGTGGGCGTTCAATTTATCTAGTGACAGTAATTTGTGTAGCAGGTTCTTCAAGGATGCTAGAGAGGAGGGGGAAGGGGTAAGCCAATTCGTCAGTATTGCCTTCTTTGCTGCTATCATACATAAATGCTCCCAGTGGGAAAGGTCCTGAGGAGTAGACGTTACTAGGGGGCTGGAAGCATGGAAGAGGCATAGCGCTGGTGCGGGGGACCGCTGGGAACCCAAGATGGAGTTGATGTAGGAAAGGACAGTGGACCAAAATGATTGGATGTGGGGGCATAACCATATCAGATGTTCCAAGTCCAGTGAACAATGATTGGCTTTTACACATTTGCTCATAGTTCAGCTTTGTTATTTACATCAGGTCACATTTGCTACTAATCACCATACATCTGCATTTCCCATTCCTCAAAGCAAAATCCACGTCTTAGTACCATTCACCTTGTTCATAGCCCATCTAGGTTTAAAGTGACACTAAACTCAGGAGTTAAATCTTAAAAATGCATTCAAGTACCTTAACTATTAACAATACTGTACCTTATTTGTGTATCACTCGGCTGTAGATCCTCAAATCATCTCTGAATTGGTGCTGACACTGTACTTCCTTCTGGAGGGTGGCTACTTTTGTTCCCCATGGTCCCCATGCGTGTTGTAAAGTAACGAACGCTCCAAGCTCACTCCCTTGATGGATTTTAATGTCACGCTTAGTTTACTAATTTGTATTGAGATTGTAGTCCATCACGGGAGTGAGCTTGGAGCGGTGACTACTTTACAACACACACAGGGACCATGGGAAACAAAAGTAGCCACCCACCAGAAGGAAGCACAGTGTCGGCACCAATTCAGAGATGATTGGAGGATCTAAAGCGGAGTGATACACAAATAGGGTGCATGTTTGTTGATAGTTAAGGTACCTGAATGTGTTTTTAAGTTTTAACTTCTGAGTTTAGTGTCACTTTAAGCCGGGTGAGATCTGTGTGAGGCAGAAACATTGATTGGCTGTACAGGAATCCAAATGCAAGTGGAAATTTATTTCAAATATATTTGTCTCTAATAGTAACATGACAGTGTATGGATTGATGAGTGCACCATTATCCATTTTCTTCACAGGGCAGTAATATTCTAGATGACATGTAAAAGCATGTTGTAATATTTTCTGACTTGTGTAAACTAGGCGTTCTTAACTGTTTAGCAATCAGGAACGCTTGAAATACTTTTCATGTCTCAGGGAACACCTGATTAAATGTATTATCTCTGGGGCTTACGGTACAAATAAATGAATAAGAAAAGTGGCACATCTAGCATATTTGACATCCAGAGGGGATGTTTTTTCATCCATTTTTTCAGTAATAAACATGAAATGTGTAATAATAATAGGCAAAAAGAAATACAGTGAACGTTTTAGTCCCCCTTTGCATTGGTGGCCAGTATATAAGTGGCCCCTTACATTGGTGGCCACTGTAGTGCTCCCATATAATAATTTTTGGTGGGGTAGGGTCCCCTTACATTGGAGGCAAATGAAGAAGTGCTAATAATTGGTAGTTACTGGGGTGGGGTTCCCTTACATTGGTAGCCAGTAGGAATGGTTCCCTTAAATTGGAGGTCAGTGGAGAAGTACACCCTTACTTAGGTGATCAGTGGCGTAGTCCCACTGGTCAGTGAAGAAGTGCCCCCTTTCACTGGTGGTCACTGAGGAAGGGCTCCTTACATTGCTGGTCATTTAGGGTAGGGAGGCCTTTATAGTAATGGCTGCTTGGAGAAGGGCCAAGTTTTTAGACTTTGAAGAGGTCAGCCTAAAGATGAGCATCTCTAAATCTGAGGCTGTGGTGTTGTCTAGGATAGGAGTGGCATGTTTACTTTGGAATGGTACAATTTATTCAGTAAAGGAATCCAGGTAACCCAAGATCCTGTACATGAAGCCAAATGAAAGCTTAAATGACATGGACAGATTCCTTATCAATAAGATTAACAGACTGCTGGTCCTAACAGAGATCACCACATAACAGATCCTTTTGCAACTTGTGCATTTTTTTTTGTAGGGATGCACCAATACCGATACTAGTATTGGTATCGGTGCCTATACTAAGTATTTGTAGATTCTTACTACTACTCGTACTCGCCCAAATGCTCCGATACTTACCTCCGATACTGGGGGAGTTATGACTAGTGATGAGCTCGATGTTCGAGGCGAGCGTGAGTTCAACTCAAACATCAGGAGTTTGTGTGTTCAGCAAACACACAAACTGTTAGGGCGTTCGGGGGGCTGTTCGCCTGCCGAGCGCCCTGCAAGGCACTGTGCACCGCACAGTGCCTTGTTAGCCCTGATTTTTTTTCTTCTTTTTAAATGTAATTTTTTTCTTTACAAATGTAATTTTTGCTGCAGCAGGTTCTATACATTGTAATGATGCGCCACTTTACAGGCAGTTTAAGGGGACCCCTCAGGCATGATATTTAAAGGACATTTTCTTTTTTATTGTTTCCCTTTAAGTGATGTTAAAATCACTGCTACTTCAAAAATTTAATTTTTAAAAAGTTTTTTTTCATTGATACATTTCCCCCAGGGCAGTACCCGAATCATCATACCCTTTTTATGGCCAATAAATTGCATATAAGAAGCCATGGAAGCCAATCAGCCTCGGGAAGTGAAAGCGGTGTTCTTTCAATAGAACACCGGTTTCCCAGGCAATCTGCCCGGCTTCCTGATAATCCATGCACATGGCACCAGTATCGGTATTCAGCCAGTACCGAAAAAAATAATATTGGTACTCATGCTCGATACCGAAAAACCTATATTGGCGCATCCCCAATTAGTGTAAAACCTCTGGAACTGTTGTATCTGAAGAGGCAATATAATTTGTTTCTCTGTCTACATATGAAAAGTAATGATGGTCCAAACACAACCGATTTCGGTTCGAGTTCGAACTTTAGAACATGGAAAAAGTTCGAACTCGAACTTCGAACTCAATGAAAGTCTATGGGACCAGAACTTGGAAAATCAAATGTCCCCATTTTGAAGGTTTATATGCCAGTTATTGCCCATAAAAGGGTATGGGGATTTGGGTACTGCCCTGGGGGACATGTATCAATGCAAAAAACACTTTAAAAAAATAAAATTTATAAAGTAGCAGTGATTTTAATATTGCTTAAAGTGAAACAATAAAAATGAAAAATTTCTTTTAAATATTGTGCCTACATCTGTACGATGTATAGAACCATGTTGCAGCAAAAATTACATGTATAAAACAAAGAAAAGGCATTTATAAAGGAAAAAAAAAATGTGCGGCTCCCCCTCCGAAACAATACCAGACCCTTTAGGTCTGGTAGGAATGTTAAGAGGTACTCCATTTAAATAAAAGGAAAAAAAAACATGGGGTTCCCCCAAAAGTCATACCAGACCCTTAAGGTCTTATAGGAATTTTAGGAGGGACCCCATTTAAAAAACAAAACAAAAATAAAGTGTGTGGGCTTCCCTCTCAAAGTCATACGAGGCTATTAAAGTCTGGTATACATTTTAAGGAGGAACCCCACCCTCAAAATTTTGGGGGGAAAACATGGGGTCCCCCTACAATTTCTAACCAGACCCTTGATCCGAGCACGGGCCTGGCAGGGCAGGGCAGGAAAGGGGGCGAACGAGAGAGCGTCCCCCTCTGCCAAGCAGGCCACATGCCCTTGGCGCTGGGAGGGTGCTTTCCAAGGGTCACCCTGGAATAGAACCATATCCCCATGCCGATGGGGACATGGGCCTCTTCCCCACAAGCCCTGGGGCGTTTGTTGCTGGGGTGCGGGCAGGGAGGCTTATTCACATTGGGACCCCTCAGAAGCGCCCCCCCCCTTCTTGTGAATGAGTAAGGGGTACTTATACCCCTACCCATTCACTAAAGGGTTAAATTCAAATTGTAAAAAATATGCCACACTTTCGAAAAAATAATAATACAAAATAAAACAAAAGACATGTTTTTGACAAGTCTTTCATTTAAAAAAAAAAAATTGATCCACCGACGCAATCCTAAGGTCAATCAGGACGTCCAGCATTGTCTATGACGACTTAACGAAATAAATAAAAAAAAGAAATAGAAATAATAAAAAGAAAAAAAACCCGCCGCCCGCCGACCCGTCCACTCCTGATGAACTCCCGCAGCAGAATGGCATTCTGACAGATGCTGGCAAAATGTAAACAATTGGGCAGAGCTAGCAGTGACAGCTTGCTAGCTCCGCCCAGCTGTTTACATTTGTCCGACACCTGACAGGACTTAGCTGTGAGCCATGATTGGGCAAAGTCACTGTGCCGTGACCTGT